GAGCTCTTCTCGCCCTGCGCCAGGTGTAACCCATCGCTCATTGCTCTCATCATCTCTTCCCTTTGGGCCCCCTGCTTTTCTGTGGGGGGTTATACACACTGAAATTATCACCTTTGGCTAAAGTGAACTTTCCCCGTATGAATCAATTTCTTTCCCTTTTCCCCCTCCCCAGCCCCAAAAAATTTCCCATGGGTTTTGTTCCAATGCCACCCCTCCCCCCCCCGTTTTCTTCTTTTTTCTCGGGATCTGGTTCTCACGGGAAGAGGGAATCTTATCATACCTGTAAGTTGGTTTTCTGTGATCGCTATGATGTCTGGTATGCTCTTTGACTCTTTCGTCCCACCCCCCCACTGTTTGTTTTTTTCCTCATTTTGGTACCTACCTTCATTTTCCCTTTTTCCAAACACTGTGGTTTGGGGTGCCTGTGGGGGTGGGAGCCCTTGAGCATATGGGGATTCAGGGTTTGGGGGGTTTGGGTGGAAGCTGTGGGTATGGATTGTATTTGTGTTGGGATGGTGTATAGGTTGTGGGGTTCTAAGGATAGTTGGTGTTGCTTGCCCTTGCTGTCTGTTTCTTGCTGACATTTGCTAGTTCATCCTTTTTCCCCTTTCCTGCCCTTTCCTTTTTTGCCCCTCTCCCTCAGCTCCCTCTCTCTGTTTTGTGTTTTCTTGCTAAACACCTCTTTACTTTTCCCGGCTTTTAAAAACCGGGTTTCTTTTGGGAGGATCCTGTTCCGCACGTTTCGTCCTGGGAATCAGCTTGAGGGTGGGTTTCTCCCCTTCAAGTACCCCCCCTTTTCCTGAAAATTTTACATCTCACCATGTCTTCTCCCCCTTTTTCCGTGATGATTTTTCTCAATCTCCTTTCTTTCTCCTCCCGCTTTCAGTGTATGTCCTTTCCTCTCTCCCCCAAAACCCCATGGATAATCACTAAATTTTGGGCCCTTTCCTTCCCCCTTTTCCTTCTCTCTGTGACCTGTTTCTTTTGTTTTGGGGTCATTTTCTCCTTGTTTTTTCCAGTGGCTTTTGGTAGCATGGTTGGCCTCAGCATTCGACCTATTCCTCTCCATCTGCACCCATCTGCTCTTCCCTTCCCTCCCTGGCCCTTTTTGCAGGCTGTATGCCTTACAAAATTTTATCCCTTTCCTTCCCTGTTCGGGCCTCTCTTTTTCTTTTGGTGGGGTTTTCTCGGTCACTATCCCTGAGATTGCTTCAGCCTGTTTACCTCTTTTTCTAGGATTTTTCCCCCCGGGCCCTACTGCAGTTTCGATTTGGCCCCCCAAATTTTCTTCGTCTCCTTCCCCAAACCCTTTTCCCATTTTCACAGAGAGCTCTTTCTCCTTTTTTTCAGAAAGCTTCCCCTAATTTTCTCTCCCATTATTGCTCTATCCTTTTCCACTTTTTCCTCCATCCATTCCTCCCTCCATACTTGTCATCTGATCCCTGATTCCTCGAGTCCCAACCATTTTTTTTTTTTTTTTGTGAAAGAGAGAAGAAAAGAAAAAAAAAAAAAGGGGGGGGGAGAGTGAGAGATAGGAGAGAGAAAGGGGGCCTAAAGGGGGGGTGAAAAAAAGGGGAAAAAAGGGGAAAAAATGAGAGAGAGGGAAAAGGAAGAGGAGGGGGGAGGACAAGGGAAAGAGAGAGAGTAAAAGAAAGGAAGAGAAGAGAAAAGGTTAAAAGAGAGAGGGGAAGGGGGAAGAAGGTGAGAGAAGGGGGGGAGAGAAAGAAAAGAAGGAGAGAGAGAGAGAGAGAGAGAGAGAGAGAAGAGGGAAAAAGAGAAAGGAGGGGAAGAATGGGGGGGGAAAAGGAAAAGGTTTTAGGGTCATTTACAGGAAAGGGGTAAAATCCGTAATGTGTGTGTGGTGTCTTATGTGTGTGTGTGTTGTGTGTTGTGTGGTGTGTGTGTGTGTGTGTGTGTCTAGTTTGTTGTTGTGTGTGTGTGTTGGGGTGTGTGGCTACGCTTTCAAGTGCCCCAAAAAACCCGAGCTGCCCACCTGTGTGTGCTAGTTTATGTAAAAATTTCCCTTGTTTCCCCCGTTTACTACTATGTATTTATATGTACCCCATTCCCTTTTTTCCCCTGTACTGTCTTACGAGTTTAAAATTTCGTTTAAAAAAAATCACTAGGGGTTCGCCTATTCCGCTACCTAAAATTTTTTTAAATGCCCAGTAAATGTGCTTATTCTAATTTGATAGCTCGGGGGGTGACCCCCAATTCCCGCTAGAGACAGGTACTATTTACCCATGCAACTAAATAGGGGAATATTTCGCGCTGGAGTGGAGTAACGTTTTTAGGTCTTCCTTCCCCCAAAATTGATGTTTGATGCTTTTCGGTAATTTTTTCCCCTAACTTCCGAACACTAAAGTCTCTAGCTTTCAATTTTTTCACTCACCACTGTTTTACTGAACATTTATACATATCTTTATCTCCCCGTCTTGAGTCGCATTTTTCTCAAAATACCCCCCAGGTTTTTGGCAACACATTTTGGCCTGACACAAACCCTTCCCCCTTCCAACGGCCCCCCCATAAACACTCACCAATATTTCCTTTTTTTCTTTTTTGTGTCATTAATTTCCTTTTTTCGGGGCTTTAAATGTTTTATGCACTCTTATGCGTGCACACCCTATATCCCACACTCATTTCCCCTTTTGGCACAGTCAGAAATTACCACCAAAACCGAGCCAAACCCCGGACTCCTCCCAGTGTGTGTGTGTGTGTGTGTGTGTGGTTGGGAGAAGAATTGACAGAAGAGGATTCTATCAAACATCCATTTCCTTATCTAGAATTAAGATAACAGCGAGTGTAAAAAATTACTTTTACGCGCTGGCCTGGAGTTCAAAGATATTTGCCGCAGTCAATCCCCACCCGTACCGTGGTTTGTTAGAAACCTATAAGAACTAGGATCAAGGCGGCGGCTTAGTCTGGGGTATCTCAGTATCACACACCACTACAGTTTAAAAAAATCTTACCGTCACAGAGTGGACCAATACGCTGCTGTGCTGCGCTCTGCTGCTGCGCTGCTGTGCTGCTGCTCTGCGCTGCTGTGCTGCTGCTGCTGCTGTGCTGCTGCTGCTGTGCTGCCCTGTTGCTGCTGCTTGCTGCTGCTGCGCTGCGCTGCTGCTGCTGCGCGGCTGCTGCTGTTGTTGTTGTTGTTGTTGCTGCTGCTGTTGCTGCTGCTGCTGCTGCTGCTGCTGTTGTTATCTCCAAATGAAGCAAGAGTAGATTTGACCAACCTTACGGTGGATACAATATATCTTTTCTCAAGTACCAGGTATACAGGCCCAGCTGACGTCAGAGACATACTACTATATAGAAAGCCGCTTGTTATGCAGAGTATTTCGGGCAAATTAGGTCAGTTTTGTCCCAGGATGCGACCCACACCAGTCGACTAACACCCAGGTACCCATTTTTACCGATGGGGAACGTGGACAACGGATATAAGGAAACACTCTTAATGTTTCTACCCTTGTCGGGAATCGAACCCGTAAACTCAGCGTGTGAAGCGAGAGCTTTTGCCAGCAGGCCACGGGCCACCATTTATTTATTTATTTATTTATTTAAAAATTTGTGCACACATACAGAGGTACAAAAAATACAGAAAAGAGCAGTATGCCAAAGCCACTTTACTATGCATAGCATTACGGGCTGGTTTTAAAATTTAAAACTTAAGATGAACTAAGCAATGATGACATCGGTGATAAAACTTTAATGTAAACAGATTACTATAAAGCACAAGTGAGTATTACAAAGACAGGTCATATGGTTGTATGCATTGTTGTACATTCAGTAGAATGGAGTATTCTGTTAGGTAGTGTTTTTAAAAATAATAAAGTTAGTTTGGGGTTTTAGGTTTAACATTTATGTGATATAATTGTGAGAAATATTAAGGTATTACAATTTATAAGGTTCAGTTATTCAGTTTTTTTTGGTTTGGGTGAGTAAGTGATCTTTGAGAAGAGACTTGATTTATAAACAGGTAGTGTTTCTTTTATATTTTACAGGTAATGAGTCTCCAGATTTTAGGCCTTTTATGTTTGCATTGAGTTTTTGCATAGTGTGAGATGGACACGAGGAACATCAAAGATTTTGATCTGTTGCCTTGTGTTATGGTCATGTGTTCTGTTGAGGTTGGCAAGGAGATGTTTGAGGGGGAGGGTTAATATCAGAGTTAAGTGTTCTATGTATGTTAATAGGTGCAGTAATAAGTATGAATGTTTTGTATGGTGAATAGGTTTAGTGTATTGAATTTTGGTGGAGTGTGCTGCTCTATGCTGAGAATTTGTTATCATTCTAACTGCAGCCTTTTGTTGGTAATTAGTGGTCTGAGATGGTTACTTGTGTTGAGCCCCATGCACAAATTCCATAGGTGAGATAGGGGTAAATAAGAGAGTGATAATAGGGCCAGGGGGCTGACTGTGGAGCATAGTATCCGTATCTTCGATAGTATGCCTACAGTCTTGAAATTTTCTTAGAAATTTGTTGTATATGTGTATGAAATTTGAGTCTATTATCAAGGTGGATTCCTAAGAATTTTCCCTCTGTTAGCTTTGTGATAGGTGATCCGTTTATCATTATGTTAAGAGGGACATCTGTAGCTCTGTTTCCAAACTGAATGAAGTAGGTTTTGTCAATGTTTAGTGTAAGTTTGTTAGTCCTCATCCAGGTAGATATTTTCTGTAATTCTGTATTTACAGTATTGCAAGACCTCTTACTCTGCACCGACGAGAAAAGTCGTCGAAGACACTAAAAATAAAGCACCTATATTATAATATAATGGTACGGTAACAACAGCCTCTTACCCAGTGTGCTCAAATCAGTCGTAATATCCACATATTTAAACCGGGAAAAAAATCGTATATCCATTAACAATAGATTTATTTCTTTGCTAGAAACCGCGAAAATAAATACCCCAGTCTGTTTAATAAAACTGATAAATTTACCTCTGCAGAAATCAAAATGAGGGAACCTTCATTTAAGTAATATAAACCAGTGTAGAAAGTTTGAATTCGATCAAAAGAGTCATGTTCCGGTTATCGCACCTGTATCGATATTTCACTTTGTTTACTAAAATTGATACTTACATGCCTAACAATGCTGTGAACTTTGAGCAAAACACTTCAGCACTGAAAGACTAAAACTTATACAGTCGGAAACCAAAATTAGTCTTACTTAGGATTATACTGTTTGAAGTCATTCAGAAGAAACATTCGCACGTTATTGAACGGATTTTTCTTTTAAATATAAATGACAGATTGGCAACAACACAATTCTTCTAAATAGTATACAACATCAGTGAAGGTTTGACGTTTACCTGAAAGGTTTTCAGGTTATCGCATGGAAACCTCTGTTATTTTTGGATATAAATTTAGCAGTTTAGCACCAACATAACCCAGTACAAATCTGAATCTTCTACGTAGCGCACACTAACCTTCAACACTTCAAACCGATTATCAAAACTGTTCTCAAGCTTTGGCACGGAAACCTTGCAGGACGAGAACAAATTCTGACAAAAACTGTAAGTAACTTCCCTCAGTGGATACCTAACAGCACCGCAAGGAAACTGGAAGGGATAATGGTGACTGCAATTATCGGTAGTTGAGTTGTTTGTGTACCACACAGTCGTGTTCATTATGTAGCTTTGGACGATGTTTCACAAACAAATTCTAGGTATGTGCATAAAATATTGTCATATAGACGTCAAATGTTAGGGTCACACAGGGGTCAAATATCACAGGTCATAAAAAGTCAGGTCGTATGAAGGCCAGAAGTGTCTCGGTGCTTTCTCGAGCACGGTGCCTAACTTTAAAACAGCTGAAGACATCTGTACAAAAGTTCATTAATATGTACATCACTGAACGAGATGTCGCTGAGGTGGACGCTCTGTGCAAGTCAGAGCTACAAAGGAGGTGTTCTGGGGATCTATATTTAGTTGACATGATTCACGAGGTAGGACAAGGGTGGGGATGGGGGTGAAGAATGTAAAGTGCTCTAACATGCCAGAACATCTGAAATTTCACATAGAGTCACTTTTCTATTAAGCACTTTCATCTTCACTACATCAAAATCATTTTCCCCAAATCTTGAATCATTTTTCAATTTACCGATTACATACTATTAAATTGGTATCGAAAAGTATCAACTCACAATTTCCTAATTTCCTCTCTAGGCCCGTGAAAACATTTCACATATTGTTGAAATGTTTCGATGTACTCCTGACACGTCCAACCCAGGCCAGCTTCCCGTCGTCTGAGCGTCGTCAAGGTGGTGGGGATGTGAGAGAGAAGAGAGGGCAACTTCCTGATACGTGCAACGTTTGCATTCGTTGCAGCCTTTCTTTTACTCCAACCTCAATTAGACACTGCCTCGTCCCACCTCCTCAGTCAGTGCTCCTCCCACTCCAGGAAGTGCAGATGCCAAGGACACTATATAAGAAGGTCAGAGGCTGCTTTCCTAGCTTCAGTAGTGTGCGACGTCTCAAAAGGTTGAGTCCACACCTTCAAGGTGAGACTGATCTTAAAGGGAAAATTATCTTCTTGAAGAGAAAATTATCTTCTTGAAGGGAAAATTAACTAGGAAAGTTACCATTCAAGATTTTATTATATATTTCTATAATAGGCTATTTTTTCCATCAGTGAACTAACCTGACGTCGTTTCTGGTTTTTATATTTCTTGGAAAAGTTAATTAATTTAATTTCCTCTGCATTTGATAGAATTAATTAATCACCAAGTTGGGGGTCGTGCCACCCAGTACCTGCAGGAACCCAAGCCGGTTTAGGAGTGGCTTTCGCCGCCACCAGTACTTGGTTGAACCTAACCCGGTTCAAGAGTACCTTTCTCCACCATTTACTACCTGCATGAACTTTACCCGGGTGAAGAGCGACTTGCTCCACTACACAATGCATGAAAGAACTTTACCTGGCTCAGTGATGATCTGATCTGCTTTTGCACCCAGTACCTGTGTGAAACATGTCAGATGCAGGAGTGACTGGTTCCATCGGCCAGTACCTGTGTGAGACATGTCAGATGCAGGAGTGACTTGTTCCATCGGCCAGTACCTGTGTGAGACATGTCAGATGCAGGAGTGACTTGTTCTACTAAACTATAATTGAACATTTGCAACAAGACAACAAGGTGGATATGAAAACTGAAGAAGGTTTCTGTCCGTCTTATACTATTAATTATTGGCGAGTATTGAAGAAAGGAAGACCTGTGCTGGAAGCAGTGTTCAGGAGTTTCAGTAAAAGTAACACAATAATACACTAGATATTCTTCCCGAAGATCATCATATATGGGTGGCTCGTGGCCTGGTAGGCAAAGCTCTCAATTCACACTCTGAGGGTCTGTGTTCGATTCCCGACAATGGAGGAAACATTGGGCGTGTTTCCTTACCGATTGGTGTTGGTCGTATCCTGGGATAATATTGACCTAATTTGCCCGAAATGCTCAGCATAACAAGGGGCTTTCTACATAGTAGTGTTATTAATGTCAGCTGGGACTGTGTACCTTGTACATGTACTTGAACAAAATAAAGATATTTTTATTATTATATTCCAAGATTCTCTAAATTATACAAAAATTAAAAGGCAGCACAATGACATCAACAATATCAAAATGTCAATATCTCCTACACATAAAAAATATAATAATATAGATATTTGCTAATTAATTTTGTTCCTTGTTAAATTTACTAGGTAAATCTTCCACTACTCATTAACTGGTTTGTAAGAATTGTTTTACAAATTTTAAATTGACAGTTAAATATACAACACTTCTCCTATGTGTTATCGTTTCTTTCATTTATGACATTACTAGTTATTTCAGATGACAGGTGCCTCAGGTCTGATGTTCATGGTACTGATGGTGGTGTCGTCGGTGGCAGCCTACAGTAATTACTACAACTACTACTACCAGAATGGCTATCCCACCCTCTGTGGCCTGTCCGCTCTAAGAGGCGCTGCTTACTATGGGTACTACGCTTCCCGTAGGGACGATGTATATCGGTACCACAAGAGGCGGTATCGTGGCCCCCACCAGCGCTCAAACAAACAACGTTACGGCAGGTCCATTCGAAACCCCCCTAGCAAGGAGGAGAACTTGTTGCTGTCTGCTGTGGGCCAGCTCGATCATGAAGGCTGCATTCTGAAGCTGCTGTGTCATCTCCAGACTAGGGAGGAAGATGCCCGCTCCCTGGAGGAGAACGTCCTGGTAGATATGTTTGCGAATATCACTGAGACATCTTACAACGCTCCTTTCATCCACGCTCTATACATCGGCACCAACACCTACAACCCCACCGAATGTAACAGCTACTTCTCCAAGTGCCCGCTGAACGACGTCCAACTGGGTGACCTCCTGCAGCAGGCCTGGAGCTGCGGTTCCAACCTCTACGACGACGATCTTCCACAGAACCAACACGTATCAGCCATCGACCAGGACAACTTGTCGAACGGAACACAGAACATGTCTCGTGCAACACACAACACGTCGGCCTCAACACTCAACACGTCGCACACGACATAAAACACGTCACACACATGGGACACGACATAGATCACCAAATTATTTGAATAACCGTTTAATTGTTGCTCTGTTGATATTTAATACAATTAACTTTTAGGTAAGTACACGGTAATTAAGAAGTTACATACGGAAGTGACTGGAAGCATTGAGCCAGTATTTGTGGGAATCCAGTTAAGCACAACTTCAACACGTGCAGAAGTGTTTTTAAGCAATGGTTCATCACGTGTAGGATTCTAAATATGTGTAAGAGTGTTTCTAAGTACGCGTTCAACACGTGTACGAATATCTAAGGACGAGTTTGTCAACAGCAGCAGTCTCAGCACGGGTTCAACACAAGCAGCACTCTATGGACAAGTTCAACACCAGCAGGAATCTAAGGACGGGATCAACGCTCCACAAGGTGGAGTCACCAAAAGCACTTCTGCCGCACTTCTTTCCACTGTTATAAGCTATTTATTTATGAATAACAATTGAAACTTCTCAAACTAGACTTTTATTTTGCCTCAGTTGTGTTATGAAAGTGTGAGAGTTGTATATAAGTGTGTCTGTGTTAGTGTGAGTGTTGCATACAAGTGTGTATGTGTCAGAGCAAGTGCTAAATCATAATATGTGTGTGTGTGTGTGTGGAAGTGTTAAGGCAGCATGCTAGTGTGTGTGTGTGTGTGGAAGTGTATGAGCTGCATGCTAGTGTGTGTGTGTGTGGAAGTGTATGAGCTGCATGCTAGTGTGTGTGTGTGTGGAAGTGTATGAGCTGCATGCTAGTGTGTGTGTGTGGATGTATATGGGCTGCATGATGCAGTGTGAGTGTAAGAGAATGTGGGGGCTGCATGCAAGTATGTGTGTGGAAGTGTGTGGACTGCATATTAGTGTGTGTGTGTACGCACCTAATTCACCTAATTGTGGTTGCAGGGGTCAAGACTCAGCTCCTGGCCCCGCCTCTTCACTGACCGCTACTGGGTCCTCCCTCTCCCTGCTCCATGAGCTTTATCATACCTCGTCTTGAAACTATGTATGGTTCCTGCCTCCACTACATCACTTGCCAGACTATTCCACTTCCTAACAACTCTGTGGCTGAAGATATACTTCCTAACATCACTTTGACTCATCCGAGTCTTCAACTTCCAATTGTGACCCCTTGTTCCTGTGTCCCATCTCTGGAACATGCTGTCTCTGTCCACCTTGTCCATTCCATGCAGTATTTTGTATGTCGTTATCATGTCATCCCTGACCCTCCTGTCCTCCAGTGTCGTCAGACCGATTTCCCTTAACCTCTCTTCGTACGACATTCCCCTTACCTCTGGAACCAGCCTTGTTGCAAACCTTTGCAGTTTCTCTAATTTCTTGACGTGCTTAACCAGGTGTGGGTTCCAAACTGGTGCCGCGTACTCCATTATGTGCCTGACGTGCACAATGTATAGAGTCTTGAACGATTCCTTACTGAGGTATCGGAACGCTATTCACAGGTTTGCCAGGTGCCCATATGCCGCAGCAGTTATCTGGTTAATGTGTCCTTCGGCGACGTGCTCGGTATTATACTCACCCCTAGATCTTTCTCCTTGATTGTAAGGTTTGCAGTCTTTGGCCATCCAGCCTATAATCTGTCCGCGGTTTTCTTTGCCCTTCCCCAATCTTCATGACTTTGCATTTGGTGGAGTTAAATTCTAGGAGCCAGTTGCTAGACCACGTGTCCAGCCTGTCCAGGTCTCTTTGTAGATCTGTCTGATCCGCATCTGATGTAATTCTCACTAACTTCACATCATCTGCAAACAGGGACACTTCTGAGTCTATCCCTTCCGTCATGTCATTCACATATACCAAGAATAGCCCTGGTCCCAGGACTGACCCCTGTGGGACCCCACTCGTCACAGGCACCCACTGTGATACGTCATCACGTACCACTGTGATACCTCATCACGTACAGCATGCTGTATTCTTTTCAAGATTGATGGACTGACCACTTAAGGCTGAGGGACTGATTACCTCAAACTCCTCCTGTTCTTCAATGTTATCCATTGTATGGACTGATGAAGCCCTTATGTGGCGAAGCGTTACTGTATTGTATACCTGTCTTGCACATACCTAAGCGTTGCACATGTGTCTAATTTATCAACTTGCGAGGAACTGTGTCGAAGGCCCTCTTGCAGTCCAAGAAAAAGCAATCAACCTACCCCTCCCTCTCATGCCTTACTTTCATCCTCCCCTCTCGCTCTGATAGTGTCCCTAACATGTTGGTACATGAGGTTTCCCAGTACTACATCCATCATCATGGCTCTCCATGTTTCGAGATCCCCGTGTGGCTCAAGGTTTTCCCAATCAATCTCCCTGTGGTTGAAGTCACCCATAACTCGAGTGAGCTCTTCTTGCTACTTCAGCTGGTGTGTCCACCTTTGCTCTGTTGCACTCATCATATTCTTCTCTTGGCCTCCTGCAGTTCTGTGGTGGGTTATACATCACTGCAATGACTACATTATGTTCCCCTGAACTGTATCTACCCTGTAATCCTTTTCTCCAATCTCGTCCATTAATTCCATTTCATGATATTCACATCAGTTTTTAAAGAGCAGTGCAACCCCTCCTCCCCCTCTGCTCCTTCTGTCCTTCGCCAGGATCTGATATCCAGGTGGGAAGGTTACGTCTGTTATTGTCCCAGTGAGTTTTGTTTCTGCGACTGCTATGATGTCTAGGGACATCTCCTTGATTCTTTCATGCCACTCCTCACATTTATTCGTTATTCCATCCACGTTCATGTACCAAACCTTCAACTTCTTTTCTATAACTGTGGTCCGGGGAGAGTGATTTGTTTGGGGGAGCAGGTTCCTGGTGGGGGCCTATTGGGGGTTACAGTAGGGGTGGGAGTTGTGGTAAGGGGGATGGAGGCAGAAGGCCTATGGGGGATTACAGTGAGGGGTTGCGGTGAGGGAGATGGGGGGTATAGGGTACAGGGTGTGGGTTACTGTACTCACCTAATTGTAGTTACAGGGGTCAAGACTCAGCTCCTGGCCCCGTCTCTTCACTGATGGCTACTAGGTCCTCTCTCTCTCTCTCTCTCTCTGCTCCCTGAGCTTTGTCATACCTCGTCTTAAAGTTATGTATGGTTCCTGCCTCCACTAAATCACTTGTTAGGCTATTCTACTTCCTGACGACTCTATGACTGAAGAAACACTTCCTAACATCCCTGTGACTCGTCTGAGTCTTCAACTTCCAATTGTGACCCCTTGTTTCTGCGTCCCCTCTCTAAAACATCCTGTCTCTGCACTCACCTAATTGTAGTTGCAAGGGTCGAGACTCAGCTCCTGGCACCGCCTCTTCACTGAACGCTACTAGGTTCTCTCCATGCTGCATGAGCTTTATCATACCTTCTGCCTCCGCTACATCGCTCGCCAGACTGTTCCACATTCTGACCACTCTATGACTGAAGAAATGCTTCCTAACATCCCTGTGGCTCATTTGAGTCTTCATCTTGCAAGAGTGACCCATTGTTTCTGTGTCTCCTATTTGGAACATCTTGTCTCTGTCCACCTTGTCTATTCCACGCAGTATTTTGTATGTCGTTATCATGTCTCTCCTAACCCTCCTGTCCTCCAGTGTCGTCAGGCCGATTTCTTCATAGGACATTCCCCTTAGCTCTGGAACTAACCTTGTCGAACCCTTTGCACTTTCTCTAATTTCTTAACGTGCTTGAACCGGTGCGGGTTCCAAACACGGTGTACAGTGTCTTGAAAGATTCCTTACTTAGGTATCGGAATGCTATTCACTGGTTTGCCAGGCGCCCATATGCTGCAGCAATTATCTGGTTAATGAGTGCTTCCGGAGGCGTGTTCAGTGTTATACTCACGCCAAGGTCTTGCTCCTTGAGCGAGGTTTGCAGTCGTTGGCCACCTAGCCTATACTCTGTCTGCGATCTTCTTTGCCCCTCCCCAATCTTCATGACTTTGCATTTGGCAGGTTGAATTCGAGAAGCCAGTTGCTGGGCGACGTGTCCAGCCTGTCCAGGTCTCTTTGAAGGCCTGCCTGATCCTCATCTGATTTAATTCTCCTCATTAATTTCACATCATCTGCGAACAGGGACACCTCTAAGTCTATCCCTTCCATCATGTTATTCACATATACCAAAAATAGCACTGGTCCTAGGACCGACCCCTGTGGGATCCCGCTTGTCACAGGTGCCCACTGTGATACCTCATCACATACCATGACTCGTTGTTGCCTCCCTGTCAGGTATTCTCTGATCCATTGAATTTCCCTTCCCGTTTTACACGCCTGATCCTCTAGTTTCTGCAATATTCTCTTGTGAGGAACTGTGTCGAAGACCCTCTTGCAGTCCAAGAAGATGCAATTTCTTACTTCTGTTACTTTATCATAAAACTCCAGAAAGCTTATGAAACAGGATTTGCCTTCCATGAATCCGTGCTGGTTGTCATTTATACTTTTGTTCCATTCCAGGTGCTCCACTACTCTCCTCCTGATAATCTTCTCCATGACTTTGAATACTATACAAGTCATTGACACTGGTCTGAAGTTTAGCACCTCTTCTCTGTCTCTTTTTTTAAAAATGGGAACTACATTTGCCGTCTTCCATACCTCAGATAGTTGCCCAGTTTCAAGGGATATGTTGAAGATTGTGCTTAATGGGACACACAGCCTTTCTGCTCCCTCTCTAAGGACCCATGGGGAAATGTTGTCTGGTCCTTTAAGGTATCAAGGTCACTTAGCAGCTTCTTCACCTCCTCCTCGGTTGTGTGCATGTCATCCAGCACTTGTTGGTGTATTCCCTGTTGGTGTCAGCCTCTGTCCAGTCTTCCCAGAGTCCTTCCTGTCTCCACTGTGAATACTTCCTTAAATCTCTTGTTGAGCTCCTCACATACTCCTTGATCGTTTCAAGTGAGTTCCCCACCTTCTTTCCTCAGCCTGATCACCTGGTCTTTGACTGTTGTCTTTCTCCTAATATGGCTATGCAGCAGTTTCGTGTCAGACTTGTCTTATGATGCTATGTCGTTTTCATACTGTCGCTGGGCCTCCCTCCTTATCTGTGCATACTCGTTTCTGGCTCTTCGATTGATCTCTTTATTTTCCTGGGTCCTTTGCCCTCTGTATTTCTTCCATTCTCTAATCCACTTAGTTTTTGCCTCCCTACACCTTCGGGTAAACCAAGGACTTACTTTGGACTTCCCATTAATTCTGTTGCCCTTGGAAACAAACCTTTCCTCTTCCTCCTTGCATTTTGTTGTTACATATTCCATCATTTCGTTTACTGACTTTCCTACCAGTTCTCTGTCCCACAGGAAGTTCCTCATACCTGTGTAGTCCCCCCTTTTATACCTTGGCTTTTCCCAATCGATTCCTGTTACCCTCTCCACTTGCAGCTTTACTATGTAATCAAAACTCAGAACCGCGTGATCGCTAGCTCCAAGCTGCCTCTCAT